TCATTCTCTAAAATAGACCATATATTAATTCACAGAACATATTTAAATAAATGCAAAAGGGTTGAAATTATCCCTTGCATGCTATCGGACCACAGCGCCATGAAATTAGTAATCAACGATAAAAGATGTTGCAAAAATCCCACAAACACATGGAAACTGAATAACACACTCTTGAGTAATCAGTGGGTCACAGAGGAAATTAAAAAAGAAATTAAGCAATACCTACAAACAAATGAAAATACAGATACAAATTAGTGGAATCTATGGGATGCAATGAAAGCCGTCCTCAGAGGAAAATTTATTGCACTGAGCTCCCACATCAGGAAAATAGAACGAATACAAATAAATAGCATGATGCTACACCTCAAACAGCTAGCAAAAGAAGAGCAAGTCAAGCCCAAAGCCAAAAGAAGAGAGGAAATTATAAAAATCAGAGCAGAAATCAACGCAATAGAGACTAAGAAAATAATCCAAGGAATCAACGAATCAAAAAGTTGGTTCTTTGAAAGAATAAATAAAATCGATAAGCCTTTAGCAAACCTTATTAAAAGAAGGGAAGAAAGAGCTCAAATCCATGCAATAAGAAATGAAAAAGGTGAAGTCACTACAGACTCAATAGAAATGCAGAAGATCATCAACACCTATTTCAAAAACCTCTACTCTCAAAGGTTTGATAACACAGAAGAAATAGACAGATTCTTAGAAACATATGAAGTACCAAAGCTAGATCAAGTGGATGTAAAACTGCTGAATAACTCAATCTCTATCAATGAAATTGAACATTAATTCCTTATGGAATATAATTAATTCCTTACCTACAAAGAAGAGCCCAGGCCCAGACGGATTTACTGCAGAATTCTACAAGAAATACAAACAAGACCTAATACCGACACTCCTTAAACTCTTCAATGAAATTGAAAGGGAAGCAATTCTTCCCAAGTCATTCCTGGAAGCAAATACTACTCTAGTACCAAAACCCCGGAAAGACCCAACCGAAAAAGAGAACTACAGACCAATCTCCCTAATGAACACAGATGCAAAAATCCTCAATAAAATATTGGCAAACAGGATGCAGCAAATCATCAATAAGATTATATACCATGACCAAGTGGGATTCATCCCAGGGACGCAGGGATAGTTCAACATACGTAAATTAATAAATGTAATCCATCATATCAAAAAAGCCAAAAGTAAGAATAACATGATCCTTTCCATAGATGCAGAAAAAGCCTTCGATAAGGTTCAACATTCTTTCATGATAAGAACTCTACAGAAAATTGGAATAGATACTCTTTACCTCAATATAATAAAGGCTGTCTATGACAAACCAACAGCCAGTATCATACTAAATGGCCAAAAATTGAAAGCCTTTACTTTAAAATCAGACACAAGACAAGGATGTCCTTTATCACCTCTCCTATTTAATATAGTACTGGAAGTACTAGCCAGAGCAATTAGATAAGAGAGAAATAAAAGGGGTAAAGATAGGAAAAGAAGAAGTTAAATTGTCATTATTTGCAGATGACATGATACTCTACATGGAAGACCCCCTAAATTCCATTGAAAGACTCTTAGATATAATAAATAAATTCAGTAATATAGCTGGGTACCAAATCAATACTCAGAAATCAATAGCATTCTTATATACTAACAACAAAATCACAGAGAGAGAAATAAGAGAAGCCACACACTTCACACTAGCAACCAAAAAATGAAGTATTTAGGAATTACTCTTACAAAATAAGTGAAAGATCTATACAGGGAAAATTATAATACTCTGAAGGAAGAAATTGAAGATAATCTCAGAAAATGGAAAGACATCCCATGTTCATGGATAGGAAGAATAAACATTGTGAAAATGGCCATTCTCCCAAAACTGTTATACAGATTCAATGCAATCCCAATAAAAATATCATCAACATACCTTATAGATCTAGAGAAATCACTCCTAAGGTTTATCTGGAACCAGAAGAGACCTAGAATATCAAAGGCAATTTTAAGCAACAAAGGCAAGGCAGGAGGCATCACAATCCCTAACTTGAAGTTATACTACAAAGCAACAGTAGTAAAATCAACATGGTACTGAAACCAAAACGGAGCTGAAGGTCAATGTAATAGATTAAAAGATACAACCACAACTACAAACACACTCAACCACCTTATCTTCCATAAAGGAGCCAAGCAGTTTCACTGGAAGAACGACGGTCTTTTTAATTATGGTGTTGGAAAAACTGGCTCTACATGTGCTGAAAACCTAAACTCGACCCAAGCCTATCACCATGTACTACATTAAAATCTAAATGGATTAAAGATCTGAATATTAAAACAGAAACACTAAAAGTATTGGAACACAAATTAGGTAGAAACCTTGAAGACATAGGGGTAGGTAGAGAATTCATGAACAGTACTCAAACTGCATGGGAAATACTTCCCAGAATCAATAATTGGGACTACCTCTTATTAAAAAGTTTTTGTAAGTCAAAAAAAAATCTCCAGCATAGTCAAAAGAAAACCCACAAACTGGGAAAAGATCTTAGTGAACTCCCCCTCAGACAAAGGACTTTTGTCTAAAATATATAAAGAATTAAAAAAAAATCAGACCCCCAAAATTCAAAGACCCAATCCAAAAATGGGCATCTGAGATGGATACGCACTTCTCAGAGGAAGAAATACAAATGGCAAATAAATACATGAAAAAATGTTCATCATCATTGGTTATTAGGGAAATGCAAATTAAAACCACACTGAGATTCCATCTCACTCCTGAAAGAATGGCCAGGATCAAGAAAACCAACAACAACAAATGCTGGAGAGGCTGTGGGGCAAAAGGAACTCTCCTACACTGTTGGTGGGAATGTAGACTGGTACAACCTTTGTGAAGGTCAGTCTGGAGATTTCTCAAAAAGCTAGGATTGGAAGTCCCATTTGTTCCCGCTATTCCACTACTAGGCATCTTCCCAGAAGAACTGAAAGCATCATACCAAAGTGATATATGTGCACCTATGTTTATAGCAGCGCAATTTGTAATTGCTAGATCATGGAAACAACCCAAATGTCCATCAACCGAGGAATAGATAAAAAAGCTGTGGTACTTCTATATAATGGAGTACTACTCAGCTATAAAGAAGGACCACACTGAGGTATTTATCAATAAATGGGCGCAGCTTGAAACCATACTCATAAGTGATTAAATCAAACTTGCATCTGTGAACACCAAATAGTTTCCCTAGTGTAGGAAATGAATCAAATATATAAAAGTACGTGATAACCATGATTCCCCATTAAATGCCTTGAAGCCTTATAAAATTGTCACTCATTACTTGGAATGGGTTTATTCTGGGCTGTTTGATATCATGGCCGGTGGTGCAATGAACAGCTACTTTGAAGATAATAAGACATAATAACAGCTAGTGCTGATTTAATAACATCTTGTCTTAAAGCCGTACCAAACTATGGTTCTTCTGTCTCCATTGATTTTATTATGTTGTAACTTGCTGGACTTTATTGTATGTGGTAGTATAAACAAAAATTGTTATAGGCAAAGAGATAATATTGAAACCATTGATCATTTTTTTTTCTGTTAGCTGGTTCTAAATACTCTACAATGCTTTCATCCACTTGAATGGTGTTACATAGTCTTGATATATTTGATGCTATAGCATATGAAGTTATATTCAAGTATTTCAAAGAAAAAGACACTATGGTAACTACTATTAAGTCGGGTTATTTGGTGGTGAAGCACTAGGTTGCTGAAAGTGTTATGCTTTAACCTATATTGTTATGTTGTTATGCCCTCTTTTATCTCATCCTCTCCCATATTCATTAAAAAATCATTTAATTTTTTAAAAAAAATATATCATCCAATAAAAAATGCTGCTGGATCTGTAGGGAAAAAGAAACCCTTTACAACTGTTGGTTAGATAGTAGATTAGTTCAAACACTGTGGAAATCAGTGTGGAGTTTCCTCAAAAAAATTAGGATTAGAGGTCCCATTCAACCCAGGTATTCCCCTTCTGTGTATCTTCCCAGAAGGATTGAAAAACATCACTCCCCAGTGACATATGTGAAACCATAAGGTTCAAAATATACAATAGTCACTGTGAAGTGGAATGAAACTGTTCAATAAAAAGAAGAAACTAAGATAGGGGAAAAGAGAAAGGATAGAAGGGAAAAGAAAAAAATGCAAGTTAGTTATACCATTAGTGTCACTTAGTTCACTGAATAGGAAAGGTTGTGCTAATATTGATTGAAGAAATTTTTATGCCCATATTTTGTGCTTGAGTGACTAAAGATAATGTTGTGTAATTTATCAACAATTGTTACTTTTTCATTATTTTGTTGTGAAAATTTGTTTTACCTTTTCTTCTTAATATTGACAAAGTAATAAATTTAAAAAAAATAATAAAAAAGTCAACAATTCTAAAATGTACTTAATTTAAGTTTTTATAATTTATTAGATTCAATATATGATTCTTTTTTGTACTTTGGACCAAAAATCCTGAAGTCACCATTTTGGATTAAGACACTATTGTACTTTAATTTTTATGTCAGTATCATGTTCTTTGTTTGAAAATGAAGTTGGGATAGCTTTTATTATTTTTAGTTTGACACTTCAGTTTTTATCTGAATTCTTAACTTCAGTTTGAGTAAGTTTTGCTCCATAAACAGATTAAGTTATTAAGTTAGCTCATTGTTCCTTTCTTTTTTTTTTTTTTTTTTTTTTAATCGGTACCAGGGATTGAACTCATGACTGCCTTCTTTGCAAGGCAGGTGTTACGCCACTGAGCTAAATCCCCAGCCCCTGTTAGTTCATGGTTAAAGTCATGTATCTTATATCATTTTTCTGTGAATTTCTGGTAGTTTTCTGAGCACAATGGTATTATAAATACTTATGAAAATCATTCTACAGTTATTACTGAACAATGATCACTTACTAATAAGAGTTATATTCAAAAATGGAAATATAATTTAAACTATTCTTTCTTTCTCTTTTTGTATAGGTTACTTGAGTTTCAAAGAAAGGATTGGTAATGCCACCAACACCAAGTGCTCCACCTCAGTACCCACCTCCTGATGGAGGCTGGGGCTGGGTGGTGGTTGGAGCTGCCTTTATATCCATTGGATTTTCGTATGCATTCCCCAAAGCAGTCACAGTGTTCTTCAAAGATATTCAGGAAATATTCAGTACTTCTTACAGTGAAATAGCTTGGATATCATCTATCATGCTGGCAGTTATGTATGCAGGAGGTAAGATTCTTGGAATAAGTAGAATTCTGGATTCAGAAACCTGTTCCCTTATGCCATATGTTTTTCATACATGATCTTGTTATATAAAAGCCCTATATTCATTTTATGCTCAGTTAATCAGAAGAATAATTAGAAATGAATTTTTAATAATTTAACATCTTGAACTATTCACTTCATTTTTAGTCTTAATAGAGTTTTCATTTGTCCAAACCAAAATGTTCTAAATTATATACTATAATTTCCAAGTCACTTTTCCATTTATTTTAAATTAAAGGGTACATTATAGTATTGGTATCACTTTTCACCATTGCTGTAGTTAACAGAAATGCTTTCTTCTGATTAAGAAGGAAACTTAAGTTGCTGAGAATTTATAAGCCCAGATAGTATTTTATATGTACAAATGGAGTGCTTTCATGTATGTTTTGGACTCATTCAAGTTTCAGCAAGTAAACTAATTCCTTATTGCTATAGGATTCACTGGGTGATGACACCTTTCTATTTAAATGGTTTTCAGATGATTACCTACTTACATTCTATGTTAAAATGAAAGTGAGAGTCATGAGGGATAACGAGTAAGTGTCACTTCTGTTTTTTGAATAAATTCATGCATCATTAGGTGACCCATCATCTTTAGATTAATTTTAACAGGTTACAGGCTGCCGTATTTATTTTTTAAAGTCATTCTTGAAAATATATGGATTTTGGACTTTCTAATTTTCTCAACTGGATATTCCATTCCAGGGGATAGTTATGGGCTCAGAATGTAAGAATTTTAAAAGCTACATAAATTATTCAGTGTTTTATTTTTGTTTTACAAGTAAAGACAACATGGCTTTTAGTGAAAGATATAAAGCATTAGTAATAATATCCAGTATTTATTAGTATTTATTTTTAGTCAGAACCTCTCAGTACTTGATATGTGTGATATGACTTAATCTCCTCCATGACCTGTGAAATAAGTGTTATCTTTTTTCTATTCTGTAGCTGAAGAAATAGATATGAAATGCTTTTCCAAGTCAAAACAGCTCATTAGTGGCAGATAAGAATTGAGACTTCACACATTTAATCACTGTGCTATCTGCCTGTCTTCCTCATTACATGTACAAAGTGACAGAGCCAGCTCTAAACCAGGCTTTCTGCTCACCTGATGCAGTGTTCTTCCCTTTGGTTGCAATGACTCACATGCTGCCTCTGCCACGGTCATTTGTTCAGCGACATTTCAGATCTTTTCGCTGCAATACCAAAGAATTTGATGCTGAGATGTATGTGTCTGTATGTGTTCACATGTGTGCGCCTGTGTGTGCCTGTGTGTGTTAGTGTTTGTTTTTCATTTTGTTTATAAATTACTTTTAGCTATTTCAACATAAGATTAGTTAGTTATTTTATCATTACAATAAATCCTTGAAACATTTTTTGGATATATCAATGACGTATTCATCATCTAATGTGCAACTTAAGACTCTCATGTGTAACTGCTTTAAGGATCCTGACAGTATCTTTTATCCCTATGATTATAGAGAGAATAGATATTATGCAGAGGGCTTGATCCTCTCTTCTGTGGCTTAGGTGTTCTTTAATAATACTTTGATAGAGCAACAAAAGCTTCTTGACCTGAGCTCCAAAAGCTGTTAATATTAAGATTACCTCTCACTCTTCTTCTTTTTTGGAACTGGGGATTGAACTCCCAACCTTGTGCTTGGCAAGCAGGTGCTTGTGCCACTGAGCTAAACCCCAGCCACTCCTCACTCTCAAACATGACTAAAATCAGCTTCTCTAATGACATGATATAGACTGACAGTATTTAGATTTCAGATGCTGTTATGTTCATATTTTTCTGTTGAAAAGATTACTGGTTAATTTATAGGTAAGATAAAAATTTATATAACTTTTAGGTAAGGCTAGCATTAATCTGCTTTTTTTTAGAGTACAGATTCAAGCTAGTATGTATACTAGCTGATGTATATATACTGTCCCATTTTGTTGGATAGTTGAACAGAACTGTTTGCAGTCTCCCTGGTTGAAATCCCATTTATATGTTCCACTTGTGTACCTTGTAGCCATATTTTATCTAGTAGCTCTACATTACCCAAGACTTTTTACTGTTCCCTACATCTGCTCAATCTGCTGGACAAAGAATGAACATAGACTGTGTGGAAGACCGGATGGAATAATTGAGTGTCCAGTTCTTGAAGGAATAATTTTCATTTCTGCTGCCCGTGTAGGACAAAACACTGGATTTCTCAGCATACAGCCCAAACCCCCTGTCATGCTCTCTACAAGGGCAAGGCCTTTGTCCTGTGAGAGAACCCTAACAGTCAGCTGGGAGGAGTCTGCTGCTCTGAAGGCCAGCCCTACTCACCAGGGTCCTGGACTTATCATCTTATCAGGCCTGTCTGGAAAAATCAACAGCATTAATATAACCTGGGAAGTCTATCTAGTTACTAATAATCATCAGTTTAGTCCTGTTCATAAATCTAGCTGAGGAATAAATTGAAGTTTCTGTATACAAAGATGTTTCCCCCTAAAGCACCTTCGGTGTCAGGAGAGGCTATTGTCAATAAGTGAAGAACACACTGCTCTGAAAAAAACAGAGAACAAAAAAGATTTGCCAAAAATTAAAAACAACATGGCAAAGTAAAATAATTCCTCAGAGAGGTCAACTATTGGGATGGCTGGACTTGAAATGCAAGATGGTACCCAGGACAACAATTAGGTAAAAATACACCAAAATGATCAACAGATATTGTCCTCACCCCCTCAACATCAAAACATATTGCAAAACTACAATAACTGAGACTTCCAGAAGCTGTGCTGGGTAGAATAAACAAGCAAATGAATGGGCCATCACAAGCCTGATGCCAAACTGATAGTTTGACCATGAACTTGTTGTTGGACACCTGATTTAAAATAAACATAAATCCCCATCTAGCACCCCGCTAAAAGTAAATTTCAGTTGAATTAAGTTAAAAAGAAAACAAAATAAAACAGAAAAAAACCTTCATTTCTGCCACACATTCCATTTGGTAGAAATCTTACATTGTCCTGCAGAGATGCAGGAATAGTAGGAAAAGCAGGTTTCCTCAAGAAAGAATCAGTCAAAATTGGATATCATCTTGCCAGTCCTACATAGAACTTTATACCTCTATAATCCTCCTCCAACATCAGAAGCAAAATGTGTACAAATGTTCCATGGTCATATGACAGCCTTTTATAACTTGGCATATATCCAAACAAAACATAAGAATGTGCCTAAGTATAATTCAATTTTCTCAAAAAACTCCCAGTATGAAATTAATTAAATACCCATACTAGATTTTTCGTAAATGCTAGCATTTTATTGAAACTTGTTTTACTTTTTAATATATAAGTATGAATTTGAAAAGATAAATAGCACTCTTGAAATTCATAAATAATATGATAGTTTTATATTATAAATTTGGGGAAAAATTACATTAAAATATTTAGGATCGTAGATTGATAAAATTTAGTATCTGATTCTTTTAAAAAAGCAATGCTAGACACATAAACGTATTTAGTATAATAACTGGAGAATGGTAATATGTTGATAAAGCCAAGTAAGTATTTGAAAAAATGCTAAAAGTCTTTATTTGTTAGGGCTAAAACATTTTAGATGCCCCCCATAAGCTATGGAAGAAAGTTAAAAGTAACAGAAATTCTGTTACCCATTGACCTTTCCCATAAAACTGGAAATGCAATCCCAGGCCCTTGCCTAGAATAGAAACTGTCAGATCCATTATTGGATGTAGATCTTGTATATGTACATGGCCTGTTGAAAATAATATCCTTATCTGATCCTGTAATTAGTTTTTAATCTTTTAACAAAAATAATTTGAACATTTAAAGTTATTATCTCAATATGGAAAGTTTCCGTTATGTGGTTACAGATCATGTTTTTTCATACATAGCTGTTTAGAATAAAAAATATAATAGATTCAGTTACTCCAAAGCTCAGTGATAAGTCCCATTACTCAGTTGTGTTGCTTTTTGTTTTTTTCTTTCAAGTGCATTTTACAGAGTTTCTCTTCCTAAATATTGAGTCTCTTTGTAAAAATGTGTAGTCCTTGGCCTTATCATAAATCTCCTTTTTTCAGAATTTCTGTTGGTATCCTTGGAAACTTGAATTTTAACAAACATGTCTCAAAACCACCTTTTCTGTGTGTATAACATTGATGTTTACTGTTGTGAAAAATCCATATTTGATTTTAAAGTATTTAAATTTTTCGTAATATTTAATGGCTATTTATAGAGGCCTTTTTGGTTGACTATAAAATAAATTCAAAGACTATGTGGTGAAAAGGCATATGGTTTACTAGGAAGTATAATGAGTCTGTCTACCAAGTAACTGAAATATTCTGTTCAACATAATGCTAATTACATTAGCCCAAAGAACATCCAAGATCTGACACATTCATTAGGGCTTAGCACTAAGCCTATTAATCACTACGGTGGGGTCATTGAGTAAGATGGAGCATGTTCAGAGCCTGGCCTGTGATGTCGGGGCCTGAGTCTTTTGTAGTAATTAGGTGGCATCTGGGCCTTCGTAGCATGGTATTATCTTCCCTTCTGAAGTCTGAATTAAAAATGAAACTAATAAAAGATATGCAGGAAGAATGGGAGAGAATGCAAATTATGTTTATACCTTACTTTATCCTTGGAATAATGGCACTAAATTACGGCAACCCATCTGGCTATCCATATGGTCTCCTGGAGTTCTAGAAATTTTTAGCACATAGGTCAAGCTAAGTGGTCACTCCATTAATACAGCTCTAAAGAGAGGTAGAAGGTACGTTACGGTTTAAACTTTTCACATTGTTTAGAGAGGTACAGGAATTTGTTTTGTAAACAGTGATGACAGGATTAAATTTTACTGCTATATTTGTTTGTTATTCTGTCAAATGATAGTTACTGGTTATCTGTACAGTTACTGAATACAGATTTTGAGCTACCAGTCTGTATAAGTCGCTCTTGTGTTTTTCCTG